AAGGCAAAGCATCAGAGACCGGTAGGTTTGTTACAACCACTGCCAGTGGCAAGTGGAAGTGGGAGCACATCATTATGGATTTCGTGATGGGACTTCCGAGATCCAAGGTAAGGAATGATACCGTTTGGGTCATTGTTGACAAATTGACTAAGACGACTCACTTTTTGCCTATGGCAGTGACAGATGACGCAGAAAGACTTAGTGGATTGTATGTGAGGCAGATTGTTAGGCTTCACGATGTTCCAGTATCCATTATTTCATATAGGGATCCCAGATTCACGTCTCACTTTTGGCAGAGTTTTCAAGAGGCTTTTAATACGGGGCTTCATTTCAGCACAGCATTCCATCCTCAGACTAATGGTCAGTCAGAGCGTACCATTCAGATATTAGAGGATATGCTACGGGCTTACATTTTGGATTTTGGGGGTAGTAGGGAAGACTACTTACCCTTAGTTGAGTTTGCCTACAACAATAGTTACTAGACCAGTATTAGCATGGCACCTTTTGAGGCGTTGTATTGTAGATCTCCAGTTTGTCGGATCGAGGTAGGTGATACAGTCACCTTGGGTCCCAATATTATCTTTGAGACTATGAAGAAGATTAAGTTGATTCGACAGTTGTTAGCTACAACTTAGAGCAGGCAGAAGAGTTACGCTGACAAGAGGAGGAGATCCTTATCTTTTGGGGTAGGGGACCACGTCTTTCTCAAGATTTCTCCACGGAAGGGACTTCTAAGATTTCGGCAAACAGGCAAGTTGTCTCCTAGGTTCATTAGATCATTTTAGATTTTGGAGTGCATCGGTGAAGTTGCTTATCATTTGGCACTGCCGCCAGACCTGGATAGGGTTCACGACGTCTTTCATGTCTCTATGTTAAGAAAGTACGAGCCGGATCCATCGTATGTTTTATGGTAGATAGATGTTGTTGTTGATGAGGACGACCTACAACGAAGGTCCAGTCCAGATTCTTGGTTAAGGTCTTGTGGAGACATCACGGCATTGAGGAGGCTACCTGGGAACTCGAACAGGAGGTTCGCTCTCGGTATCCCAATTTATTCTTTCTTTCAGGTACGGCTTAATTTTATGGACGAAATCCTTTTAAGGAGGGTAGGTTGTAATGACCCGGTCTTTTTCCTTCTTTTCTTTTTTTTGTAATTTCTTTTTTTCGTCTTTTCCCTATTTCGTCTTTTCTCGTTTATCGTTTTTCTTTGCATAACATCACTTTTTGTGCTCGAATTTGATTTCAGCTTTGCATGCATTCATGATATTTGATTTTAAAGAAAATTGTATTTTTACTTTTGTAGAAAATACATTCTAGTTGCTTACTTTTTCGTAAATGGCATGGATGCATACTTTCTTAGAAATATTCTTGGTTTTTGGTGTTTAAGTGTAATTATGCAAAGTAATTATTTTTCATCTTAGGGACCATTTTACAATTTAATTTGAAAGATATTTTGGAAAAGGACTTTTTTGCAAGTTTTGGAAAGTGTGACAAGTGTCACATTCTCCTGAAGCCACTTGTTGGCATTTTGGAAGAGTCCCTTAGAAGCTTGATCTTGTGACATGTGGAGGGTGGAGATTCAACCACTTGTTAGCCTAGGATAGGAGCACTTGTTGGCATGGATTGGTGACAAGTGTAGGCTTATGATTAAACCTAGGAAGGAGCCATGGATTAGTGACAAGTGTAAGCTCATAATTTAGTCTTGCATTAGTGTGTGTGTGAGAGGTAGTACAAGAGCACATAGTGAGTGGAGAAATACTAAATCCTTCATTCACCTTTTTTTTATTCATCTTCTTCTTTCCTTAGTCCATAAAACCCTAACCTAGCCACCATTGGAGAAAAGCTTGGTTAAGAGCTTATTTCTTCATTTTGGCCTCCTTCCATTCACCTTAGATCATTAACCTTGAAAAGATAAAGTTTCCTTTCACTCTCCTCTACAAAACCCTAGAATTGTTTTCCATTTTAAGCTTGGTTGCCTTGGATTATAGAGATTCAATTCTCTATTAAGGTAGAGGTGGTAGTATGTTTATATTTTGAGTGTTTTATAATCCTTTGGGGTTTAATATATATTGTGTACATGCTTTTAGAATTGTAGTATTGCATATTATTGGAAATCCTTATGATTGACTTAGGGTTTATTTATTTAAGCATATATGTTGTGTATTTATCTTATGTAGGATTATTAATGTCATATAGAACTCTTATTGACTTGAATTACTAAACTATTGTGATGATAATTCTACATTTTAGTTGATTACTATTGGTAATTGTAACTATTTTAGAAGCTTGTTACTAAAATTGTTGAAATCTAGTATATAAAGCTTATTGTTGAGACATGGTTTAAATTAATAAGTTGATGATATTGTATTGCACATTATATCATGTTGAGAACTTGTCATTTATTATGCCATTCTAGACTTGTAACCCTAAGACATGGTTTGTGTGGTTTCAAAAATACTTGTGTATGGAAGGTGGTTATATGCCTTAATATTGTATAAGTTTTGAACTTAATTATGATTTTGGATTCTCTTGGGACATTGTTACAAATGACATGGCTAGAGTTTGGCTCTAGTACAGGAGATAGAGAGCTCCCTATATTATAGTGCGCACTAGGGTGGTATTCCCAGTGGGTTAATAATGCTCGGAATAACCGTTTAGGTCTTGGTTCACTCCGGGATTTGATGTCCAAGCTTTCCACTAATTGATTTCGCATTCATTTCCAAGTTTACAACTAATGCTTAATTGTGACTTGTAAATTTGGTTATTTGTGAATTGATGTTATTAAGTACATTGATATTGATATTGTGTTGTAATAGAATCATTTAAGTTAACTTAAGATGATCCTTTAGAACACCTTGAATATAGACGTTAAGTAGAATGATCCCTTGTATTCGTCTATATTGATCTTGTAATGATATTGAAACTTTAGGGTATACGCATATGCTTCTTCCTACGAGTAACTTGATTACTCACCCTAGTTATTTCGATTATTTTACAGGCCAGAAGACTATTTTCTCGGATGCTCATCATCCTTAAAAGCTTCTAAGCAATTTAAAGCATTTTTGTATAATGATATGCACTTGTTTAGCATGTTTTCCTTTTGGATACTATGTTTTGTATACCATGGATGTATGGTATTTTAGAAGCAATTATGGCTTCCTTAATGTGTAATGTATACTTCTAGACACCTATGTTGTATGTGTAACATGAGGCCAGGGCCATTAGCTTCAAAGTGTTTTAAAACTTATGAAATGCCATTATAGTTTATTTTGTGAAAAACCTTAGGGTTGGTATATGAAATTTTGCAAACGGATTATAATGAGGCCGAAGGCCATTGTAGCGCATCTACTATGTCATTTTACATTTGCAAGAATGCTCATATTTCAGAAAACTCACAAGTTTCAACTTTTGAACTATTTTTGGAAGAATTATGAATTTGTATGCCAAATTCATGCATTAGAGTGTGACTTGAAGCTTCCCTTTGATTTAGCATGTTATGTATGCTTGAATGAGGCTAGAATATGTTTTCAAAATTGTCCCAGGACATTGGGAATGCATGAGAGGCTTCGAGATTGGACCGAGCACACTTTGCAGCATTTGACAGTAAGCATTTTACTGTCAAAGAGTGTATTGGTCGGCTGATGGCCAATCATCAGTTGGTTGACACATATTTGAGCAATTCCAGTAGCCTTTTTAGGGAATTTAGTCGTTTCGACAGGCTGATAATGGGGGTTCGGCCGACTGGTGCTTCTTGTCGGTCAACCGACCATCCCTGAAGCTTTTCCAATTCTATTTTCCTTGGATAGCTTCCTTGCACTGACTTCAGGAGGTCATATTTCTTTCATCTCTGATCCAAGTCAGGTCATTCTTGAGTCTAAATTCAAGATCTTTAAGTTAGCTTTCCAATGGTTCTAACCACACATCAAAACTCCATCCGTAGTAAGAGTTATTACAGTTTTAGTGAGATAAGTTCGTGGTAGCTCCTAAACGAAGAATGCCATTTTGTTCATTTTATATCTTTTCCGTCCGTACTCTGAATCAGGCAATTCTTGAGTCCAACTTTCTTCATTGGCATTCATTTCAGTTTAAAATGACCATTTTACCCTTGGTTCATTTCTTTTGGGTTTTAAAATCCTTACTTCCATTCTTGACTCATTAAAGTTCCGTGGCTTCATGGGGAGTCATTTTAGTGCCTTAGGGATGACATACATCTCTGAAGGCCATCTTTCATCTTTCACTTCCACATTTCGGATCCGTTATCGGGTCAATCTTTGGTTCATCATTGACGCACCGGGTTTAACAAAACTTGGGCCGTCACAATGCTTATAAGTTCGTCACTAAGTCCTAAGAATGACGAAAGCATTTTGGATCATGGAGGACTTAATTTCATACTGACGTGCATCGACAATTGGCATTTGGATGCAAGAAAGAGATGTATACGTCGAAGGGATGCAATGGTCCCTAAGAGGTACGAGTCAATTTTCTTCTTCTGCTACGACGGGTGTATTCTCTCCCTCTGCCATGGTATCACTTGTTTCTTCTCCTAACAAATTCGGGTCCTTAGGGTTTCGTCTAAGTTGTCTCAGAGTCCATTCAAGTGATGAAATATCAAGGTCGCTTGGGAGCAATGGAAGTGATAATGAACGGTGAACAAGAATAAACTCAAAAATATTTAACTTACAATATATACAAAGGTAACAAAAGTGCATGGGAAGAAATACTAACATTATACGTAGCTGAAATAGGAATGAATTTGTGGGAATGAATTTCTGTGAGGGGGACAATAATGGATTTTTTTTGTCGTTTCAGGGGAGCAATATGAAAATTTAATAGGTATATATATAATTCAAAAAAGGAAAATTCACTAGTATTAATACTAAAATAAATAAATAAAAAATCAGTGGGCAATTGCCACTGAATTTAATGGCCAGATCGAACAGGGTTACAGGAAGGGGCCCAGCAGCTAAGACCAACCCAAAAAATAGAATTAGTGAGTCTTAGCCCATTTGAAGACAGCCCAACCAAGCAATACAAAAAACCCCTACACTCTCAAGCGCTCGCTTTTCTGATCTTGCAATTAGGGTTAGGGTTTTTGATTCACTGTTTGATGGATGCTCTCAGTTTTTCTATACAATTGTCTTAATCGATCTCCAGTCTCTATTGATGAACTCATTAGGTGTTTTATTGAGCCGTGTAGCAATTTCAAAGGATTGTGAAGGTGTGATTCAAAGGGTTTTCAACTCTACGATTTGAAAAAATTCTTTTCTAAAGTAGAAACCTTTTCAATCAATTTGGTTAGGATTTTTTGGGGATTTGTTAATCTTTTCCATAGTAGAAACCTTTTCAATCAATTTGATTAGGATTTTTGGAGGATTTGTTGTTTTTTGGTCAATTATATGGAGCAAGAACCACAGAAAAAGAAACTGGTTGACGAGGGTGGGCATGAGTCTTTCAATGCTCCTCCGATGCTCTGCACGAACAATTGTGGGTTTTTCGGAAACCCTTCAACTAATAATCTCTGCTCCAAATGTTACAAGGACTATCTTCTGAAGCAATCGAAGATTGCTTCAATAATTGAAGAAACCAAAGCTGTGGGTGAAAACAAGGTAGGTGAAGTTCAAGAAGCGAAGTTCTATGAGGGAACTACTTCGGAGAATAAGCCGGCGAATAGGTGCAGCTTTTGCCGGAAGCGGGTTGGGCTGACTGGGTTCAAGTGCCGGTGTGGGCAGACATTCTGTTCGATTCATCGATACTCTGACGAGCACAACTGCCTGTTTGATTACAAGAGTGCTGGGCAGGATGCCATGGCTAAGGCGAACCCGGTTATCAAGGCCGACAAGGTTGAGAAGATCTGATGGTGATGAAGGCGAGCTCATTCGTTGTCATTGTGGCATATTGCTACCTAAAGTATGGTTTTAATTATGCTTTGATGCATTAAGAAATAAATATCTATACTGGTTATTGCCTTTTTATGTACAGTTTGGTTGGTTTTGATGCCTTTTCAATGGTATTTGATTTGAAAATTTGACTCATATCTATTAGTGATGAATGCTATTTGTGTCTAGTTTATAGAATAAAATGCTATTTCATCTTATAAAATAAAAGAATGTTAAAAAATATGAATGTATGTTCTCTGATGTGTTTGGATTTAAATTTGCGATAACTTGAACACTTGTGCTCATTCCCATTCCCACGCCTGACATAGCTTACTTTTATTTTAGCAATTTGTCCTGTTGCTTTATTGGATTTTCTTTTTGTGTCATCAAACCTTCACTTCTTGATACAGCACTAAATCATATGATTCAAAATCTAAGACTCAAAATCATGTGCTAAAGAATGTTGTGTTTCGAGTTCTAATATTGAGACTACTCGTTGAATGGCTAATTTAGGATGCAAATAGGATGGCATAATAGATCCAATAGTACAGAATAGAATGTGCAAGTTAGTGATTGGATGGAATTGATACCAAGGGAGGAAATAAATAGACCCACTTTCATTAATGATACACTATTGCCAATATGAATATGACTCCTCAGTTCCTTTTGGGGGAAATTATTCCCGTAAATGAAGACTTACAAATTAATAGCACTTGAAAATTTTTAATCTCTTACAATAGATGAAAGGTGTGGGAGTAAAGGGGATCCTACCAATAAGGAAGAAGAGAAGTTTGTGATGGGTGAGGAGGTAATATAATGAGGGGAAGATTGAACAAATAGTATCACCTGAGCCTATTAATCTACCAAAAAGGGCACGAACAAGGATCGTGAGAAGAGAATGGACGGTGAATGGAACTTCTAAACATTTTTGATCTCCTTTGAAACATGCCTAATGTGGTAGTTGTTGCAAGTTGCTAATTCAAAATCCTTAGGTATTTATTTGTGATTAAACCAAACTTGTATTATTGTATCTATAAGATAGCTAGTGAGCAAGGCATGAGAAAGAGCTTTTGGAGATTGAAGATTCATAGATGTTGAAAACTTAAAAGTTGCCACTTTTGTAGTCCCATATACTATCATATGAGATGATAAATCACATCAATGTTGATCTCTTACATTCTAAACTACTCAAAGCAAGGTTTTTTTTTTTTTTTTTTTTCTGTAAAAGATATTGTAAGAAATTCTATAGTAATAATCATGCTAAGCTAGTGAATATGTTGGCCATTTGAATAATCATGCTGAGGATTAAAAGAAAAGAAAAATGTATCAATCTCATTGAGATTAAAATGTTGAGATGGATGATAATAGTATCTAAAAGAGGTAGGATTAATAATCAATATGCTTGAGAATGCTCGAGCTTGGTGTACAGGTAAAATGGTTGGGCTGTCAAGCATGAGAACATGTGGTAAAATCCTGAAAGCAGCCACTATGTGCATATAAGTGCCAACGGTTAGGTCTGTATCCAGTCCCCCCTACCAGCACCCTTGATTAGCGGGGACCGCACCGCATGATGACCCTTTTTATGTTAGAGAAATGAGGAGGGACAATTACTTAGTGATAAAATAAGATAAAGTAGCTTAGGTGACAGACATAAACAATGTAGACCAGTGGATGAACCAATAACAAATGGAAGACTAGTTAAAATAGAAGGCAGGAGAAAATCACAGATCAAAACTTACATGTGATGAAGTAATAATAACAAAATACTCTTTAGAACTTAAATATAATAGGTGATATAATAGGTGATATAATATGTTAGAAAAGAGTAGAAGAAAAGAGTTCATATGTTTGATTTCATTTGACAACCATTATATGATGGCAAGTTAAATATCGTGATCTTCTCAATTAACAACAATGATTTCGTTTGAAGGGTAGCATTATTAGGGTATATTACATCAAAGACTGGTTTCTGGGCTCCTAGTTTGTTCTAGGGGTATCCTGATGCACCTTGGTGTCATTTATTGAGGTAATGTTTGTTTGGAGTTTTGACGAGTTGTAAACAGAATACAAAATCGAGATATGCAAACTTAATAGTTCAACAAATTATTCAATATGAAGACATATAAAAGAAGAGAGGGGATGTGTTATAGTTGGGGGATGCAATATCAGGTATATCTAACACACAAACGGATTCTGCTTGATGAGCAAATTAAGATGGTTCACATGAAATTGTATGGAATACTTGCCACAAACAAGACACCACTAAGTCAGTGGAGTTATTAGATGAATCAGCAAGAGTAGGTATATGTCTGATGCTTGTATTGCTGGAGGCATATTCAATAGTCATGTCTAGCATTGCGAAAGATGAATGTAATTCATGTTCACTAGCTATTTCTACCGAGCTTTATGTGTTCCTATTGGAAAATAGCATTCATGTTGAAATTGTTGTCTTACGAACATTTCATTCAGCAAGTTTACAACTAGCAAATAAGATAAGTATTTCAACTGTCTTTTTCCCCAAGATTTGGAATTCGGATGAGTTAGTTGTCAGACTCTCATGCCACCTGCCTATCATATGGCACCCATTTAACATACTCTGCAAACTTCAAATCTTTAGACAAAGTCCCCGTGACTGAATTGGGAAGACCATTCTATGGGCTATAGTGACAAAACAGGCGAGGAATGGGGGGTTGGGGCTGGGGTTAGGTGTAGGCACGTGGTGTTAGACAGTTGGCTAGCCTGGGTCACAAGTACTTGATTTTGGAAATGCCCACAGAGGTGTCTGATTAGAGATACCATAAATTGAAGAAGTTAGATCTGATGGATTCCTCTATCTAATTATCTTTCTTATCTTGTGCTTTAAGTTCTGTTCTGGATCCAAGTTGAGTAAAGAGTCCTTGGTATGAAATTAGGGAAGGAGCTTCGTATGTGCTTTTGGCTGGTTGGTGTATCATGCTTCAAAAAATGTGTCAAAATTCCTCTTCCACAAGTTTTATGATAATCACAGATGGACAGTCCATAATCACAGATGGACAGTAAACAAATGTCCATAATCACATATGGACAGTCCATAATCACATAATCCAAGAACTAGTAAATGAAATGTAGCTAACCTTTTTTCAGCTCAGTTGCAAATTTGTGAAAATGACCTCAAACTCAATCCCAATATAACAGTTGCAGTACACAATATCAACCAAACACATGAAGAAGATTAAACAAATATAAAATCAAGCAAGAAGTAATAAATGAAATATAGCTAACCTTTTTTCAGGTTAAGTCACAAATTTGTGAAAATGACCTCAAACTCAATCCCAATATGACAGCTGCAGTACACAATAACCACCAAACAATGCACAACCAAACACATGAAGAAGATTAGACAAATATAAAATAACATATGGTAGGAATCAAGCAAGAAGTAGTAAATGAAATATAGCTAACCTTTTTTTCAGGCTAAGTTGCAAATTTGTTAAAATGACCTCAAGCTCAATCCCAATATGACAGTTGCAGTACACAACAGCAATCAAACAATGCACAACCAAACACATGAAAAAGATTAGACAAATATAAAATAACAGATGGTATGAATCAAGCAAGAAGTAGTAAATGAAATATAGCTAACCTTTTTTCAGGCTCAGTTGTAAATTTATGAAAATGACCTCAAGCTCAATCCCAATATGATAGTTGCAGTATACAACAGCAACCAAACACATGCACAACTAAACACATGAAGAAGATTAGACAAATATAAAACAACAGATGGTAGGAATCAAGCAAGAAGTAGTAAATGAAATATAGATAAACATTTTTTCAGGCTCAGTTGCAAATTTGTGAAAATGACCTCAAGCTCAATCCAAATATGCAGATAGTATAATGAAAAATATTAGATAAATGTCCATAATAGATGCTAGTAAGAAAGCAAGAACTGTATTACATGAAATATATCTAACCTTTCTTCAGGCTCAGTAGCAAATTTTAGAAATGCCCTTAAGCTCAATCCCAAAATGACAAAGAAGAGAACACAACAGCAAGTAATATGCAGTTGAAAATATAACAGTTGTAGTTCTTAGCAGTAAGGTCATCCAAATAGAGAAAATTAAGTATATATTACATACCAAATTAAACACACAAAATTAACTAAGTATCTATTACATGTCATATCTTACACAAGATGGAAGTTTATCTAACTTTATTTTTCAATAACAACGATAATGAACAAGAACAAGACAATCACAATAAACATGATTGTAATAGTAAGACATCCACAACCTAGGAAGAGCATGTACTTCTATCTACATTGTTTATTTTGAATCATTGCACTAACCCTGTATCAGTCAGATTGAACTTGTTCTTCAACTTGTTCACCTTGGTGCAACTCATCCACCCATATAAATACACGGATATGTGACTACAAGAAATACAAATTATTCAAATAGGAAATAGTAAAAGAAATAACACCTAAAAGATTAAAGCCATACCTCCCGAGTTGAACACCTATAGAATTGTCGTCCATAATTTTTTGGAGTTCCAACCCTATATAGATTCATAGGCCCTCTACCACATGCACATTATGTTCGCTCACCTTCAAGCCTATACATAAGTGCGCCTACAAGTACTAAAGCATTTAATATTTGATGTCCTAATATAATTAGTTATTACAGTTATCCATATTGTATGCATATGAGTTAAATTTATGTACTATAATTAGTTATTATAGTTATCCATATTATATGCATGTCAGTTAAAATTACGTACTATAATTAGTGATTACAGTTCTCCCAAATTAGGTTAGCAATACGAGCACGATAGGTTAGCAATACGTAATATAATTAGTGATTACAATGCAGTGTTAAAATACACCCACAAGACCCTCGGAAGTTTCGGAACGGTCGACACAGTTTTCGAAAAAAAAAATTTGATGAATACTAACCATACCCTAAAGTTTCCAAAAGAGGGTTTTTTATTATGCTCTGAAAAATGATGGTTTTAAGGCCATAGATGAATCATTTTGAAAGAAGTATGTGAAGCAACCCCAACACCCCCCCCCCCCCCCCCCCCCCCCCCCCAAAAAAAAAAAATTTAGGTCCTCTAAACAACCATGAACACAAATCAAAATAAAGTTCGACATGGAACGCCCAAAATGCCCTCAAGATGAA